GCAAAAGCATGGCAGAAAGTGAGGAGGACTTAAAGAACCTCTTAATGAGGGTGAAAGAGGAGAATGCAAAAATGGTCTGAAGCTCAACATCAAAACAACCAAGATCAGGGCCACTGGTCCCATCAGCTCCTGGCAAATAGAAGGGGAAGATATGGAGGCAGTGACAGATTTTACTTTCTTGGGCTCCATGATCACTGCAGATGGTGACAGCACTGTGCTCATTACCCCCGGGATTTTCACTTTTACTCCATTTGGGGTAATTTACCCCTGTTCCCTGACCACTGATGTACTGTATAACAAACCAACAGAGACATCAAAATTATGAATTTATTGCAACATCCAGGGGACACAGTACAGTACATGGTGCTATTCTCTATGCAACTGTACATGTCTTCTCTTGATGGATTAGATCAGTGGTTCTTAACGTGGGCGATAATGCCCCCCAGGGGGCGATTTCATTTTTCAGGGGGGCGGTAGAACGAAAAGGGGCGGCGTGGGGGCGCTGGAGCAGAAGGGGGCGGTAGGTAGGCGCTGGAGCAAGCCAAACCTGTGAAGATGGCTGCAGCCTTTTTATAGTGTGCATGAATATATATTTTCCTCCAATCTTAATTTAGTTTCAGAGTTTTTGTCTTGAAATTTTTAGTTCCTACATTGCGGTTTGTTTTTACGCCCTTTTTATATTTCTTTTTGCGTCTTAAAATTCGCTTGCAACTAAATCATTAAATGTTACTTTTGCGGGGCATTTCATTTTCTTGGAATTGAATTTTGTTTTCAGGGGTCATTGGATTTAAGTGTCTTAAACAAACAAACAAACAAACATCCATATTTATTTATGGAGACTTGTGCCTAAGGAAACTATTACACAGTATTGCACTGTGGCTGAAATCCTGTTGCACAGTTATGCAAATGGTGTCATCTGTAGAGGTAGTAGATCTTTTTCGTTTTGTTTTGCATGCTCAGTTGTGAAACTCAATATGCAATGGACAACATCTGTGGAGATTTCTTCATTTACAGCAGTTCACTTCCAAAAGTTATGCTGTTTGCATAACTGCACTACAGGATTTTAGCCCATTACTGTTTGAATCAGCTTTGGCTGCCATATTCAGAGAGGCAAGAGGTTTTTGTAAAAAGGGGAACGTGCATCTTATGTTAAAAATATTTGTTCATCGTGGTCTTCTGTGAATGCACACAAAAGGGTTAACCCAGCGCCAGCGTTGGTCCTCTTGGAACATTCTTGAACTTTAAAAGAAAAGTAACAAAGTTTAAGGCTCCCTATACCACGCATGCTCCACCCACCCCAGCCTCAGTTCCATTTTCCCGCCTAGCGACTTGGAACCTCTCACTTCGAGCTCCGTTTTTCAAAACCTTTTTCTTAGAATTTTTTCGTGTTTTTCGACCGGACTGTACTGACTACGAGAACTGTCATATCCCTTGACGCGGACCTCTCTTTTCATGGACTCTGCTTTAGAGTTTCCCCTCAAACTTGACTGCTTCGGACTTCCCACCTT